CCAGAGCAATTCCAGGAGACATGGTGGGGTTTCTGGAAATTCTCTTCACTTTCCTCTTGCCATGTAAGTTTCTCGAACTCAATTCTGTTTATTATTTACGGTTATTTATGCAGCATTGTGGGCTTGGATCCCCAGAGTTACAGCAGTTTTATTCCAGAGCAACTCTAGTGAAAGCAATGGAGTAAGACTGGTCTCAGCACCTCTGATTGTGTATGGAGCTTTACAGATAATCCAAAAACAATTGGCCCAATTCTCCACTGCCCTGCCCCTTGTGCAGTCACTGACACCTGTGCCTGGGAGAGAACAAACCCTGAGATCAGAATTGTCCTCTCACTCACACCTGTGGCTGAAATTACACACTTCTCCCTCACCATGCACACTTCTAAATGAAGATACAAGGTGAAAGGCAGCAGAGAAGCCACCCCAGTGTCCCTTCAGTCTAAGCAGCAGAGTCTCTGCATAGAGCGACATTACTGCTCCGTTTAGATGGATTATTTCTAGCAGCCATTTCCTCATTGCTCCTTATCCTCCTTTTGCCTTCCAGCTGTGCTGTGGGCCATTCACTTGGAGCAGGAACCAATCTCCATCACAAAGGAGCCACGTGTGAGCAGCACTGCTGAATTCACCTGCAAAGTGTCTGGCGGGTCAGAGTCTACCTATATCCACTGGTACCGAGCCCCAACTGGAGGGGCACCGCAAAGGCTGCTCTACCTTTCTTACTCCAAGCCTCAAAGCTGGGACACCGGCTTCTCCATCGAAAAAGTCACCGCCTATTTTCAAGGCAATAAAATCTGCAAACTGTTGGTGCACAAGCTGGAAAAGGCAGACAGCGGCCACTATTACTGTGCCGCATGGGATTATGCACAGTGCCACAAACCTCCTGCAGCTCTGCACAAAAAACCCCAACAACAACAACAAAAACAAAACCACACACGCCACAGCCGGGGGGGCTGGGCTCAACTCTCACATTACTGCTGCAGCAGAGCTGAGTGAGCCCCACCCTCAGCCCACCCTATAGAT